TTGAGGGAACTGGACTTGTTTAGCTTGGAAGGCTAAAGGGAGACCTCATTGCGGCTTTCCAGTACTTGAAGGGAGCCTATAAACAGGAGGGGGAGCGACTATTTACAGGGGTTGATAGTGACAGGATGAGGGGGAATTATTTTAAACTAAGAGAGGGGAGATTTAGGTTAGATATTAGGAGGAAATTTTTCACTCAGAGGGTAGTGAGGCACTGGAACAGGTAGCCCAGAGAAGTTGTGAATGCCCCATCCCTGGAGGTGTTCAAGGCCAGGCTGGATGGGGCAGGGCACTGGGCAGTCTGCTCTAGTGGTTGGCAACCCTGGGTTGAAACTAGATGATCTTTAAGGTCCTTTTCAACCCTAACATAGAATTCTATGATTCTATGATTCTCTGATCTTGGGATGGTCCTTCCAGACAAAGCCATGGCCTTGGGGCACCATGATGGACCTGGGTCAGAATCTGTGTACAGCCCTCCAAGATGAAGTCATGGCCTTGAGGTGTGTCATGGTTGAGGCCCAGGCAGCAGCTGAGCACCACACAGCCGCTCACTCCCTCCTCCCCCCTGCCCAGTGGGATAGGGAGGAGAATCAGAAGAAAAAAGGTAAAACCTCATCTGTTGAGACAAGGACAGGGAGGGACCACTAGCCTGTGGTGGTCACAGGCTGCAGACCAACCAAACCAGAGCACGATAACAAGAAACAAACCCAAACCTTAAGTATACCTTCCCCACCACCCCTCCCATTTTCCCGGCCTCAACTTCTCTCCTCATTTCTCTGCCTCTTGGGAAATGGGACTTGTGGTCAGTCCATCACACGATGGAGTCACGGCATCCTTTGGGCAGCCAACTGCTCCACCGTGGACCTCCACAGGCTGCACGGGGATATCATGCCTCACCATGCTCTTCTCCACGGGCTGCAGGAGAATCTCTGGTCCTCCCACAGCCACAGGGCTTCTTGCCGGTGTGGGTCTGATGGTGAGATGTCAAGTCCACCTTCTTCTTGAAGTGCTTCCCACAATGCCCACAGCCATAGGGCTTCTCCCTGGTGTGGGTCCAGAGGTGCCTGTCCAAGGCGTAGCTGCGGCTGAAGCTCTTCCTGCAGTGGCCACATGTGAAGGGTTGCTCACCCACGTGGATCTGAAGGTGCTGGATGAGGTTGGAGTTCGTCCCGAAGGTCTTCCCACAGTCAGGACAGAGGTAGGGATTCCTCCTGGTGTGGGTCCATTGGTGGGATGCCAAGTCAACCTTCCCCTTGAAGTGCTTCCCACATTGCCCACAGGAGAATGGCCTCTCCACTGGGTCAGTCCTTTGGCGCTTAACCAGGTTGGAGCTGAGGCTGAAGATTTTCCTGCAGTGCTCGCAGTCATAGAGCTTCTCCCCAGTGTTGGTCTAGAGATGCTTGACCTGGTCAGGGGTCCATCTGCAGTCTTCCTGCACTCGGGGCAGTTATAGTAGAGCATCTTGCCAACATGGGTGTGGCGATGCCAGGTCAAATTGGAGCTCATTCTGAAGGTGTGGGCGCAGACCGGGCAGACATAGGGCTTCTCCCCGATGTGGATCCAGAGATGTGCGATCAGACTGTAATTCTGTCCAAAGGCCTTCCCACACTCAGGACAGGAGTAGGACTTCTCACCAGTGTGGGTCCACTGGTTGGACACCAAGTAGGCCTTGAGCTGGAAGTGCTTCCCACGTTGGCCACAGCCGCAGAGCTTCTCCACAGTGTAGGGCTTGTGCATACGCAGGTTGGAGCTGACTTTGATGGTCTTCCTACTTTGCCCCCATGAGAATGGCTTCTCCCCGGTGTGGCTCCTCTGTTGCTTGAGCATGTCAGAGCTGTGGCTGAAGGTTTTCTGTCAGTGTCTGCAGCCGTAGGGCTTCTCCCCAGTGTGGGTCCTCTCGTGCTTGAGCAGGTCAGAGATAAGACTGAAGGTCTTCCTGCAGTGCCCACACCTGTAGGCTTCTTGCTGGTTGTGGGTCCAGAAATGTAGGAGCAGGCTGTAGCTCCATTCAAAGGTCTTCCCACACTCCAGGCAGGCATAGGGCTTCTTGCCCGTGTGGGTTTGGTGATGCTTGGCCAAGTTGGAGGTGATCCTGAAGGCACGGGTGCAAACTGGGCAGGCGCAGGGCTTCTTGCCAATGTAGGTCTGGAGATGGGTAACCAGGTCAGAGATATGTCTAAAGGCCTTCATGCACTCAGGACAGGTGTAGGGCTTCTCCTTGGTGTGGGTCTGGCGATGCCTGGTCAAGGAGGAGCTGGTTTTGAAGGCACGGGCACAGACCAGGCAGACGTAGGGCTTCTCCCTGGTGTGGGTCCGGAGGTGCTGGGCCAAGGTGGAGCTGTGGCTGAAGCTCTTATTGCATTGGCTGCAGGTGAAGGGTCGATAACCCATGTGGGTCTGCTGGTGCAGGATGAAGTTGGAGCTCAGCCTGAAGGTCTTCCCACACTCCTCCCACTGGTAGGGCCACTCACCGGTGTGGGTTCGTTGGTGGATCACCAACTGGCTCTTGTATACAAAGCGATTCGCACACTGGCTGCAGGTGAAGGGGTTCTCCCTGGTGTGAGTCTGTTGGTGGGTCACCAAGTAGGTCTTGTACTTGAAGCACTTCCCACATTGCCCACAGGAGAATGGCTTTTCCCCGGTGTGGGTCCTCTGGTGCTTGAGGAGGTCAGACATGAGGACAAAGGTCTTCCCGCAGTGCCTGCAGCTGTAGGGCACCTCCCTGGTATGGGTGCAGCAATGGTTGCCCAAGTTGGACCTGGTTCTGAAGGTGCAGGCACAGACCAGGCAGATGTATGGCTTCTTGCCCGTGTGGGCCTGGAGGTGCTCGGTCAATTTCGTGCTCCAGCTGTAGCTCTTCCCACATTGGCCGCAAGCAAAAGGTCACTTGCCAGTGTGGGTCCATTAGTGCTGAATGAAGCTGGAGCTCATCCCGAAGCTCTTCCCACAGTCGGGGCAGCAGTAGGGCTTCAGTGACATCCTGCCATTCTCCAGGAGACCTGGAAGGTTGATGGAGCTATTAGCTGAGGAAGAAACACTCAACTACTCAAAGCAGATAAGCAGACACTTCTTTACTGCAGCACGGGGGATAGCTCCAACCCAATGTGTCTGCCTTGGATCAAAATTCATTTGCTTTTATACACTTTTTCTGTCAAGTCATTATTACATCCGTTCTTTTACATGGATATGCATAAAATGCTCACTTTTAAATTTAACCTTTAAAATAATTGGTGTTTCTCGTTACATAACCTTATCAATATTCTTATCCTAAAACAATCATTGGTCAATTCTAATTAGCTCTACTGATTGGAATCCTTGATATTCAGATCATGTTGGGAAGGGTAACAGGGTTTCCAAGCAGTGTAATTGATGTCCGTGATGGTTTCCTTACTTTCTTTTTAAAAAAAAAAAGCATAGAAAAATCTAAATAACCTCCTGGTGAGGTTTCTGTAGTCACCTGTTTCAAAAAAACCAATCTGTATACATTATGCTTTAATCAAACCAAACTCTTATATAGGACTAACTTTTGATTATTTCATCAGAATATCTGCAACACCCCCCATGTCAGTTCATTTGGCAGTCCCCCAAACCTGGGAGCAATCAGCCCCATTTCCCCCTTTTTCACCCCAAAACACAGCCCTCTCGTTAATTAATCATACAATCCCCATCCCATAGAGGACTCAGACCAATTTCCCCACGTTTCACCCCAAAACACACTCCCCACTACGACTTAAGTTGCCAACCCCCTACTTGAGAGCAACCAGCCCAATTTCCCCCTTTTTCACCCCAAAATACGAGTCCCACAATTAGTTAATTCCCCCCCTCAACCACTGGGAGGAATCAGCCCATTTTCCCACTGTTTCACCCCAAAACGCGGGGAGGACACCATCCGAGCAGCTTCCCGCCGCTGACAGAACCGATCCGC